GGGGCGTTTCTTAGCCCAGCCAAAATCCTGAGACTGACTTCTGAGCAAACATGCATGGGCACTATTTGTCTCCTTTTCCTCTCTCCTTGCTGAAGTGTTATAAAGCTGACTGTATGCATTTTGACACATTAGTGGCCCCATCAGTAATGTGCCCTGAGTTTCAGCGAGAAAGGAAGGCAATAAAGAAATAATACTGCATATGCACAAGCATATTATTGATATACATGTGCACTAGGGTTGCCAGGTCTGGGTTATAAAATACCTGGAGCAAATTTTGTAATTTGAGGGGCCTTCAAATAAGTCAGGGGGCACTGACATCACAGAAATTTTAAAAATTCAATTTTAATAAAAAATTTTAAACTCACGGTTGTCACTTGGAACAGGCAGGAGCAGTTGGAGCAGGCAGTTGCTCATTCATGGAGGTCTCCCATGGCAGGGCGAGGGGCTCCAACAGCAACAGGGCAAGGGGGCAGGTGAGTGAGCGCCAACGTGCCCTGGAAGTCAAGTGCTGGAGCTGGCCTCCACTGGCACTCTGGATGGGCACCCAAATACAGGAGGAGGCAGAAGAGGAGGAGGAAGAGACGCCCTGTCCCAGATCACACAGTGCAACTGCCCCACCCTGCGGAAAGATCCTGCGCTGTCAAAGCCCACCAGTCCCACCTTGCCTGCTGGCCCACCCGCCTGGCTGCCTGGTGCTGTTTCCTGCAGCGGCGACACACAAGAAGGGGTGGCGGTGGTGGGGAAGCAAGCTGCGCTTGGGGTAGGCAGTGGCGGCAGTTCAGCTTCTGTGGAGAAGGGAAAGTAACGTTCAGGGCTCCTCCTCCTACCCTTTGCAGGAAGAGCAGAGGGGACAAAAGGCTTCCTTTCACAAGATGGTGGGGTGTTGAACACCTACCCCCAACTACTAGAAAAACTTCACAAGCTGTGCTTGGGGAAGGGGCAGTGGGGGGAAGCAAACTGCACTTGGGGAAGGGGCAGCGGCAGCAGGCCTGGGCTAGATGGAAGTTGAGGGGCCTTGTTAGGAAGTCGGGCGGCCGGGCCCCAAAATACCCCAATGTAGCTATGGGCCTGACCTGGAGACTTTGGGGGTGGATCCAGGAGAGGGCAGGGTTTGGGGAGGGGAGGGACTTCAGCATGGTACAATGCCATAGAGTCCACCCTTCAAAGCAGCCATTTTCTCCAGGGAAACTGATCTCTGTCAGTTGGAGATCAGTTGTAAAAGCGGGGGATCTCCAGGCTGCACCTGGAGGCTGGCAACCCTAATGTGCACACACACAATATTCTTTCTTGTCTGCCTTTCTCACTGAGACTCAGGGCATATTACTAATTGGACCACTTTTCATCCAGTATGCTGCCTTGCCTTGTCGTGTGAGTACATGCACATTAGGAGAAGATGAGAAACACAAAGATGGAGATGCGAGAACATGTGCATGGGAAGTGTCAATAAAGTTTAAAAATGGTTTTGTTTACATGGGATATTAGGCCTTGTCCATTGTTAAGTACGAGACTCAACACAGCTAGTGAACAGTGAATCAGCTTTATTAACGAAGTCAGAAGAAATCAGAACGAGACAAAAACATAGAGCAGTAGGCTCTCTTTTAAACAGTCCGGGCTTGGGTAGCCACGCCCACATGTCAGATATTAACCAATCATTATTTACAGATAAGGTCCAATCAGAGTGCTTCCCTCCAGAACATTGCACAGCTCTGATTGGTCTATTTACAATCCTGTCTCAGTACTCAAGCTCATACAGATCTTAAAACACAACATCCATGTTTACCCCTTTCCAGTTATAGTTAGATATAAACTCGTGACAAGTTGTGCTAATTATGGATGGGAATGGACATTTGAATGTGTAGCGCAATCCACATCATATCATCAAGTGCAATGAAATGATGGTAGGTTTATATACCAGGATAATTCTGATGTGCATTCTGTTTCTGTTCTCTTCTCTCCTTGCTTAGCTTGTTCAAGCAGTAGTATAGCCAGAGGCTGATTATTTTCCCGCACCCCTTCATGGAAGGTAAATCAAACAGAATTGGACAAAAGGAAGGTTCTGGATAATGGCTCGCGCCAGCAATCTCCTCACTTGAAACTGAGCATGGTAGATTAAAGTGATATTCCTGCACGCAGCCCTCATTTTTGTGGAGAGGCAGCTTGTTTAGGCAGAGACCGTTTCACCTTGGCACCCTCAGTACCTCACCGCTTGCCTTGAAGATGTTGGCATCTGTTGGCCCACCCATGCTTCTGGCATGGAAGGCCGGAATACAGAACGAAATATGGAGTGGCTGGAATGGCCATCAGAAAGTGCTGACAGGCTGGAATGTCATTCTCCTTCCATGTGCTTCCTGTAGTCTTTCCAGCCACCCTATGTTCTCATATTGTATCAAACCATTCGGGGAACTTCTAGCAGACGTTGATTAGAACGCTTGCACCAGACGCTGTCTCTGCATTGTTTCAAACTAAAAGAATTTAGAATGCCTATCATAAATAATAATAAAACTCCTAATCTTGAAGTCTGAGATGGGATGACCCAAGGGTCAAAAGAAGAAAATACACAGACCTCCACCTGCTGAGGAAGAAACAGAATTATCTAATGAAGACTTCCCCAGGCCACTTGAATCAGAAGGAGAGGCGGCTCAGGCCAGTAAAAGGAAACGCAAAGATTCAATCTCAAAAAAACACATGCAAGAATTTTTTTACAGAACTGAAACAAGAAATAAAAGAAGAAATCAAGAGTCTTATCACTCCAATGACTACAAAAATAGACAACTTAACAAAGAGCATGAAAAATATTAATGCAGTTGCAGACTCAGCTGCAGCAGAAGTGAAAAATAACAAACAAGTATCTTGGAGCTACGTGACTATGAAGCCTGGTCCAAAAGTAAGTTAATGTTACTAGAACTGAGAGTGCATGGGTGGAAAATTAAAATTCGTGGGATTCCACCAAACTTTGAACTGAACACCAACCTGACTACAGCTTTAAATTTGTGGCTGAGTGGTGAGCTGAAACTTTTGGGTACAGTGGTTACAACAGCATACAGACTAAACACTAGTAGAGGCGGGTCACCAGCCTTAATCCCGGATGTCATTGCAGAGATTGTGGACGTTCAAACAAAGAAATTAATTTTAGAAACTGCTTGTAGCCAAAAAGGTGTGAAACTAGATGATGTTATCACCCAAATATTCCCAGATTTCCCGTATGAAATCTTGACGGCTTGAAGAAATATGCGTCCAGTGGTATAGAGACTAATAGAACTAAAAAATACCATATGGGTGGTTACCTCTGGGTAATCTCAGAGTTACCCAAGGGGGAAGGACTTAGACAGCCCTTCGGGAGAGAAAATGATTACGGCTATTACGTAGGCTGCCAGTGGCTCATTGGACTAGACCTGATAAGGATGTGAAATAGGCAGTGCTGGAATAAAAACATTTACTTAAATTTAAGTTGGGATTTTGCACAATACAGGTAAGACTGTATGGGGAAGGTCCCCAGCCCGCCAATGGTGAGTCTATTTTAGGGACTCCTTTGGGGAACCAAAGATTTCAGAGTGGGCAGCATGTCCCGAAGATAAACACTAGAAGATAAAAATTTTTATGTTCAGCAGTAATTCTTGTTTTCCTTTAATTGTAATAGTTGCATAATAAAATGATATATTAGAAGTGTAAAGAAATAAGCTGACAAGTAATTAATAGTAATTAAAAATTAATTTAGGGTTAAGGGGGGGTAAGGAAAACAAAAGATGTATGAATTGTATAACGACATATTTTCAGAACGTTAAATTAAGTTTGTGTTACGCTCTGGGTCAATCCCGGGTGCAGAAAATCCCGTAGCCGTGTTGGAAAGGGGGGGGTGGAGGAAAAGAGTGCCTCAGATGTAGAAGCACCGAGGGTTCCGTCACACCCCAGCTCACTACTTCAGACAGACCTCCGTTCTTTCTCTCTGGTACCTCAGAGATCAGCCTTCCAATCCTCCCCGACACTCTTTAGTTTCCTCCTTTATATACCCTTTCAACCCCTCCTTCTGCCACCCATCCGCGTGATTAAGAATCCTACTGCCTATGACACCTGTCCTATCCTGGGAGACTTCCACCCTTAGACCCGCCTCCCTGTATAACCAGTGCTGCGTTATGGCAGGGAGTGCCCACTTCCTGTTTGTGTCCAATGCCAGCATCCGTGTCTTCAGACCGTCTCTGGGGTAAGTCTGAAACCTGCCACCTGGCACGCTCCTTCCACCGGGCCCTCCCCCCTTCGCGTCTTGTGCCTGTTGTCCTCCTGCCCCATTGCGGGCGTTGAGGGAGTGGTTCGGCATTTCGGGGGTTTTCGAGCCCACTCTTCCCCCCGGGGACTTGTAAGTTGCTCGGCGCTAGTAGCGCCAGTCCCGCCGCAGCAGCCAGTAGGGCCGTGGAGGAACCCGTGGCAGGACAGTTTGTGGGAATGTTCCCAAGTGGATTATAAAGATAGGACAATAGATATATTAGAAATCAATCCAGTTTGGGCATATTGTAGGCTATCCTTGACAAATTAGTTTAAATGTTATTCCTTCCTTTGTTATGATGTTTTGTATAAACTTGTATTATGGAAATTAAAAGCAAAATAAAATATTTTTGTTAAAAAACCATCCCACCGGTCAAATTTGAACAGGGTATGTAAATTACAGTGCAATCCTAGGCAACGCTGCTCCAGACTAAGTCCACTGAAATCCATGTAACCCTTCCTAGGA